TTAGTTAAGAAATTCGGTAACACTTTACTTGAAGGGGTGTGCATAAGACTGACATGACACATGTCATGAATATGAAGGAGGTTTTATGCATGTTTATGACAACTATCATTAAGTGTCATTCGCTCAGTTATGTCATTTTTACTGCAAATATGACATTATTTGACCTAACCCTACCCGTACCCTTACCCCTAACCATAGCCCATAACAAAGACATCTCAAACAATGTCATCTTTGCATTAAAAATTACATAACTGAGCAAATGACACTTAATGACAGTTGTCATAAACATGCATAAAAAACCCGTCATATTCATGACATGTGTCATGTCTTGATTATGTAGGTGTCATGTCATGATTATGAAGGTGTCATGTCAGTCTTATGCACACCCCTTCAAGTAAAGTGTAACCAGAAATTCACAATAAATACGAATAAAGCAAGATGTTCTGTTGAAATTTGTGAATTATATGGTTTATTTAAATTGCAATGGTAAAGCATAGAATTATTGTGACAGATGTGAAGGGGGAAAATTTATACGTGTGCCAGTTTTTTTTGTCAAGAAACACTTCCACATAGTATATAATTGCGTATTTATACTTCTAGTTCCTTTGGAAGCTTCCTCGCTCCTCATGTCTTCACAGCACAATTACAGAATTGAAATGTCCTTAAGATAAATGTACTATGGAAATGCAATTGAACCTTGTTCAGACTCCGTCCAAATTTTCTGCATATCCGATTGGAATCTGATTATATATAGCAAGAGTGAATGGCTAAAATATATATATATATATACAAAAAAGTACTAGAAATTGGTGGTGAATTTGAATTTGTACAATCTCATTCATACATTTTCATAGGATCTGCTTTCAATTAGTTTTTTTTTTGTAGTATGCTTGTTTTACATTGTTGTCATATGAATCAATGAATTCAATTGATATGCTTTGTAAAACACGTAAAATAATTCATGTTAATAATAATAATTTTAATTTAATAATAATTTACTGGATGAGGATTTTAACCTCCCCTGTTAAAAATATAAAAGAAGGAGACTTCACACTGCTGCTTTATTCTAGACCCAACTTTTATGATGACACACTGTTTACAGACTACTCAATCTAGACTGAAATATTTTTGAGTGTAAGCCTCAAATAGCTGAATATAAACTGCTCTGAATGCAGTCAGATTTAATTTACAGACACTGTGTATGTCACTGTGTTTAATGTGCATCAAGTCTAACATCATGTTTCAAGCAATGTGTGAATGCTGCTTCTTAAATGTCTTCATTGCAAAGGTCATTTAAAAAAAATTATGTAGTGCATTTACGTGTCGTTGCTTGTTTTCTGTTGAGTCATGCTGCAAAGTTGTTCAAATTAACATGAGCAGATGCACCACAAGTAGATGTCAAGTATAGAGCTGTAACATACACAATTTGGATGTGTCCGAAATCACATACTCCCTTGTCTAGGTACTTTTTTGAATACATAATTACTTTGCGACCGCAAAAAGAGTATGTACTATACTGGACCTCATTCATGAAACATGAGCAGAACAAATTTTTGTGTAAATCGTTCATAAAGCTTGTAACGATCGGCCTTATTGGATGATGTTACGATTGTTAAAATGTGGTCAGATTATACTGTGTGAGATATTGGAGTGTTTAAAATAGATGAGACAGACAACAATTTAAAAATGAAAATCAAATATGTATTTATCAAATATTCACAAGAGACTTGTGTCCCAAAAGTGTCCAACAGTGTATATACAATCCAAGTGATGTTCCAAGTGCTTGTATCTGGAGAGTTTAGCTTTTCTTATCCAGCTTTAACACACTTGCCAGGAAGTTTCTAGTGAGTCTGCAGACCTTGATTAGAATGAATGAATGAATGAATGAATAATGCATTTATATAGCGCTTTATTTTGTATTGTTGTACACACAAAGCGCTTTACAATAATGTGGGGGAGTCTCTCCTCAACCACCACCAGTGTGCAGCATCCATTTGGATGATGCGACGGCAGCCACAGGACAAAAGTGCCAGTGCGCTCACCACACACCAGCTACAGGTGGAGAGGAGAGTGAGTCATAGAGCCAATCAAGTGGCTGGGGATTATTAGGAGGCCATGATTGACAAAGACAAGGGGGGCAATTTGGCCAGTTACACTCCTACTCTTTACGAGCTTGTTAGCTTGTTCAGGTGTGTTTAATTAACCTCCTGGCTACCAGAAAAAAATGTTTCCCAATTACTTTTATTCTTACTACCCCAATTGTTTGGAAGGCAATGAGCTGAAAAAAAGGTTTTTATTTTAAAAATATGTGTCAATTGCAGTGGAGATCAGAATGCTGTACATGTGAAAAAAAATCATAACAATAAGTAAATCTCATAGAAAATACCAAAGTCAACAATGTTCACACAAGATGGTGCCATGAATGGTTATCTCGGTTTGGAGGTCTTCAGTACTTTTACCGTTTTTGTTTGTTTGTCCCATTTTAAATAACCTTTTACTGAATGGTTTTACTACAGACAAACTCCTAGACATCAGACACAACAAATCAAACAATCTTTTGCCGAGTGGTGAGTATTCAGACTTTTTACTTGATATTCTAGTTGAAGGAGCCGCGTTTCTGTACAAGCACTCCAAGACTAGGGAAGCACGCTGGTGGACTGGTGAAATTCCGACAACGCGCGTTTTGTACCCTGCTGCCGAGTATTCATCTGGCGAATCTCCACTCCCTTGTCAACAAAACAGACAAACTATTACTCCTTACATGCACAAAGAAAGACTTCTCAAACTCTGCTGCTCTTTGCTTTATGGAAACCTGGTTAAATGCAGCCATTCCAGACAGCGCATTACATCTAACGCGCTTCAAAGAGGGTGGCTAAGAGAAGTTACTCTGAAAAGCTGAAAAAACTGTTTTCAGCCAGAGACCCTGAGTCAGTGTGGAAAGGCCTGAAAGCCATCACCAGCTACAAGATGCCATCCCCCAGTACTGAGGTAAATCAACAACTGGTTGAAGAACTGAATGAGTTCTACTGCAGGTTTGAGAATCCTGGTCTCACACCCGCTCTGACTGTGTCTCCACACAACCACTAACAACCCGTACCCACTACCTCCCCCTACTGCTTTTCAACCTCCACTCAAGATCTGTGAAGAAGATGTCAAGTCACCTTTATTTGTATAGCGCTTTATATAATACTGGTTGTGTCAAAGCAGCTTTACAGAGTCAAACAGGAAAATAGTTTGTCAATGATGCAAGAAGACAATAACAGAGTCATTTTTCAGCTAAAGTCAGTTCATTGATAATTCAGTGATGTAATCATCCAGTTCAGGTCTCTTCCAACAGTGTCTGTGCAATCAGTCAAGGTCCCCAACTAAGCAGGCCAATGGCGACAGTGGCAAGGAACCAAAATTCCATTGGTGACAGAAATGGAGAAAAAACCTTGGGAGAAACCAGGCTCAGTTGGGGGGCCAGTTCTCCTCTGGCCAGACGAAAATAGCATGGCGTGGTTTAATTCCAGGCTGCAACACAGGTGCAGAGGTGTTTTCTGGTTCCCGTGGTCTTGTCCTGATGTGTCGTCGAGGTGACGAAGTCTTCGCAAGGGATCTGTCTATAGGGCGCATCTAGTTGACGTGGTCTCCACTGACATTCAGGGCTGTAGAGGTTGTCTCTAGGTGCTGATCCACAATCTGGACTGGATACAGACTGGATCTGGGTGGCTACGTTGACCTCGGAATAAGAATGAAAGAGACTAATATTAGCATAGATGCCAGGTATTATCAAATGGCCAGAGTTTTGAGATCGCAGCGGACGTGAAGGACTATAATGCGATATGAGCTCACTCAAGTACTGAGGAGCTAAACCATTCAGGGCTTAATAAGTAATTAGCAAGATTTTAAAATGTATTTGTTGTTCAATAGGGAGCCAGTACAGAGTAGACAGAACCGGGCTAATATGGTCGTACTTTCTGGTTCTAGGAAGAACTCTAGCTGCTGCATTTTGCACCAGCTGGAGTTTGTTTATTAAGCGCACAGAGCAACCACCCAATACAGCATTACAATTATCTAACTTTGAGGTCATGAACACATGAATTAACGTTTCTGCATTTGACATCGAGAGCACAGGTCGTAATTTTTATATATTTTTAAGATGGAAAAATGCAGTTTTACAAATGTTTTGGTTTTCAAAGGAAAGATTGCTATCAAATAGCACATCTAGGTTCCTAACTGATGACGAGGAATTAACAGAGCATCCATCAAATGTTAGACAGTGTTTTAGGTTATTACATGCTGAGGTTTTTGGTCCAAAAATAAACACCTCTGTTTTTTTCAGAATTTAGCAGTAGGAAATTACTAGTCATCCAGTTTTTTTATATCAACTATGCATTCTGTTAGTTTTGCAAATTTGTATGTTTCATCAGGCTGCGAAGAAATATAGAGCTGAGTATCATCAGCATAACAGTGAAAGCTAACACCATGTTTCTTGGTGGTATCTCCCAAGGGTAACATGTAAAGCGTGAAAAGAAACAGTCCTAGCATTGAGCCTTGAGGCACTCCATACTGTACTTGTGATCGATATAATATCTCGTCATTTACTGCTACGAATTGATGACGTCAGGTAAGTAAGTTTTGAACCATGACAATGCAATTCCACTAATGCCAACATCATTTTGTAGTCTACTCAAAAGGATGTTGTGGTCGATAGTGTCAAACGCAGCTCTAAGATCCAGTAGCACTAATGGAGAAACACAACCACGACCAGATGATAACAGCAGGTAATTTGTAACTCTAATGAGAGCAGTCTCAGTACTATGATATGGTCTAAATCCTGACTGGAAATCCTCAGAGATACCATTTCTCTCCAAAAAGGATCATGAGAGGATACTGCCTTTTCTAGTATTTTTGACAGAAAAGGGAGATTTGAGATCGGTCTGTAATTAACTAATTCTATAGGATCAAGTTGTGTTTTTTAATTTGTGATGAATTAATAATATTCAGAAGAGGATATA